AGCAAGAACTATTAGTGCGAGTGTTATTCCAAGGCGCCTGACACTAGTATTGTTCAACGGCTTACTAGTTGTATCTGCAATTACAAAGTCTCTACTACAACGAGCATTACGAAAGTGACCACGAAGATTTGTTGGCATCACAAAATTTTCTATAAATACTTTCACGGTAGTCATTTGGATGGGCTTTTTCCTATGGTACATAGACTTTTTTTTTAAATTTAAGCGCAGTACGAGACTGGCGTCGAGATCTCATCAATTTACATTTGAGTTGACTAGATGTAGCCGTAAGTTCTATGCTAACAGTTTCTTTTCTCGCACTTCTCGCTTGTGGAACTCTCTTCCGACCCCGTGATTTTCAGCCAACTTTAATCTGCAAATATTTAAATGCAATATTAATCGTTATCTACTGTCCATCTGATTACTCGTTCTTTGTTCTCGCCTCCTTAGTAATGTTGGTGTCTCTAACTCTTCCATACCAAGTAACCCCCTTATGTCTCTGTGGCTTTACTGCTTTGCTTGGGGTGCGTTCGATTTTTAAAAAAATCTCTACAAATGTTGAGCACTCCCAGTTAGCACTTTGTCAAATGTCGGTTCATATGCTGGTGGAGTAGATGATTAAAATAGCCTCACAGCTAAAAGGCATTTAAACATTCGAGCTGAGATTTAAAAAAAAATTATTGATGCTAGATTACCGTCTTTTGATGTGAAGAGCCTCCAAACTTTTTAATCTTTTTTTCAGTTGGATTAGCAGATTTTTAATTTTGCGCATGCGCGTTGGTTTTGATTTTGTTAACTGCACAGTAATGTAGGTTCAGATGGGCGCCGTCTGTGAGAAAAAGAGCACCATGAAACAATTCATCCACCAGAAATTTGGAAACGGCATGCTGTACTGCTTGACATACGCACCGGAAGCACCAATACGAACATTTCAGAGTGTTTGTGTGTCAATCTGAGGAGAGTGCAGAGGATCCTGAAAGAGTTGGATGGTATAACATCACGGTGTTTGAAGTGATCACTAGTGATGGCGAGGTTATGCCTCCATTCATCTTGCCACAGGGCCTCAGACTCAACACAGTGCCTTCAGGAGTTAGTGCTGCCCTGGATCAAGAGGGTGGCCGCTGGAACAAGACTCTGGTAACAAGACTGTTAACAAGACTCTGCACCATGTCACACATGCAAGAGCGCCCAGTCATGACTGACGATTTCTGCGATCTTCTGGCCAGCTAATTCCCTAGACGGCAACCCCCTTGATTATTATGTGTGGTTTACAGTTGAGCAAGGGAGCAACAAAACTCCTTGTAACACCAAAGATGAACTGAAGGCAAAGATTATGGCAGCATTGGCAAATTTAAACAAGGAGACCGCCCAGAAGTGTTGCAGGAGATTCTGAAGTCGTCTGGAGGCCGTGGTTGAAGCCAATGGCGATTTTATTGAATTAAATATATTCTTTAGCATTTCAAGATATTTTTGAGTCATTTTCGTAAATATATGTTAAAATGAAATGTCAGTGTTATTTTCATTTTTGCGGCATTTAGACGACAATTTATCCATCGCACCCTGTAGTATTGTATACATGCATAAAAAAAAAAAACAACAAAATCAACTTCATTGTATTTAATGTTCCAAGTACTTTCGACCATTGTTGATAATTTGGAAGTCCGGAGATAGTCACGAGATTATTTCTGCTGTTAATGGTTTGAAGTTTGAAATAAATGTGGGTTCATATGCTATGACTAAAATGACCTCACAGCCAAAAGGCATTGAAATGTTCGAGCTGAGACAAACTTTTTTTTTTTTATTGATGATAGGTTACTGTCTTTTCATTGTGAAAATTGTTAATTAATGTAGAACGACACTAAATGGTGAGAAATAGAAGCAGAAAGATAGTGTTGCGCCAATCTCCCAATGATGGAAACTTGCTTAGCTTGAAAATCAGCATTTGAAGACACCACTGCCAACATGTAGCGAAACATGTTACATGTTACATGTAGCACAACATTCTCAACAACTAGAAAAACAAGTTGAATTTCTATAGAGATAAAAATTACGAAATTTTATATAAGTTTCAATTATTATTTTCTTTTTCCGCGCAGTTGTTCGTTTTCAACCGGAAATGTTGTATTCTGGGGTTTCTTTACAAAATCGTACGATCTCAAACATATAAGAAAGAATATTTGCTGTGACGCCGATGTGATACGAGGAGTTACTCCGATTTTCTACCAACATGGCATCAGCCATGTTGGTAGAAAATCCAGAAGAGTGACTTGTTGCGCCTTCTCAGATTAACATTTTCCACTGAAATGAAGTAGAAAGAGTATATTGAATCAGTTGATAAGTCAGCTTAGAATGTTGCTTCACTATGTCGCGCTAGACACTTTTCTCACCAGAATCTATTTTACATATTTCTAAGCTTACCATTCGTCCTTGCTTTGAATATTGTTTCCATATATAATCTGGTGCTTGTGTTTCGAGATTATTGATAGAATCCGCAAAGTTATTGGTCTTGATCTGGCAAATTGACTTCAGTCATTTTCCCATCGCGATAATGTAGCTACCCTGTGCTTTTTCTATAAATAATGGTAATTATTCGGATCTATTTTCCATTGTGATACGTAGAACTTATGAATTTAAGAGCAATACTAGATTGGCGGCAAGGTCTCATCATTTTAAATGGCTAGATGTAACCGTAAGTTCTATGCTAACAGTTTCTTTCCTCGCTTGTGAAACTCTCTTCCGGTTTCTTGCTAACCAGTCAACTTATCTCCTGTTATCAGAACGTTATCTCCTGTCTTCTGAATTCTTGTTCTTTTATTGTTCTCTCTCCTTAATAGTATTATTTAATATTCAGTACCCCCTACTCACACCTTGCTTCTTAGTGGCTTTATTGCCTTGCTTGGAGTGAAATTTAAAAAAACAACAACAAAATACTTTAAAGTCGGTGATATACATCCAACGCCCTGAATAACTAGAACAACAGTTGTCTGAACGTCTCGCATTTTGACAAACTCACAAAATACACGTCTTCTGTGCGTCATGAGCCTTCAGAGCGTTGTCGACCATGGCTCTCCACAATTTTCAGTCGTTTGTAGCACTTTTGTCTTTTTGCTATCACACTCAAACTCTGTTCTGTTCTCCATTTGCACAAACATATTAGGTAGGTTATGCACTGTTTCCTCTGCCCCTCTTGTCCAGTGAGTGCCAAATTTGCTAAGCCCTCTTTCCTCATGATGTGCCTTAGAAATTTCAACTCTCATTTTCCGATGTTAAGTATAAGTGTCCTTTTTGTTTCCATTTTACCTAAAACTTCGTCATTGCTAACATGTTGAGTCTGTCGTATTCTCATTATCCTTCTGTAAACCACATTTCTGTCGCGTCAAGTCTATTCTTCATCAGTGAGGAGATTGTCCAGTTTTCACTGCCATATAGGAGGACTGATATTATATAACAGTTCAGTACACTTTCCCTTGTTTCTCTTGCTTCAATTCTTTTCTTCATCTGTGAGGAGATTGTTCAGCATTCACTACCATATAGGAGGACTGATATTACATAACAGTTCAGTACCCTTTTCTTTGTTTTTCTTCCTTCAAGTCTCTTCTTCATCTGTGAGGAGATTGTCCAGCATTCACTGCCATATAGGAGGACTGATATTACATAACAGTTCAGTACTCTTTTCTTCGTTTTTAAAGAAAATTTCTTAATTCTCTGCTTAGCTTTTGGAAGGCATCTTTCACTATCTCAAGGCGCCTTCTGATTTCAGTGTTTCACTTTCCGTCTCCTGTTAAAAAACTTCCCAGATATTTAAATAAGTGTACTTACTTGATTTCGGTATCTCCAATTTGTAATTTGCATGTTGAGCTCTTCCTTTTGCTGAAAACAATATATTCTGTCTTCTTACAATTGATGCTTAGTCCTTTCTTCTTTCTTTCCTTTACTACCTTCTGTAGGAGTTATTTTAGCTTCCTTTCTATGTCTGCTCTCAATACTGTAGTAAAATAAGAAACTTCTCGGTACTCTATTACGATAATTCTATTTACAATACCAACACTACTACTACTACTAATAATAATAATAATCTCTCTATCTCACTTTGGGGTTACGTTACATCAATGGAAGTGTGTGGGTGGCATCGTTGCTTGGAACAGTTGAAACATCTAAGGGTCGGAGAGAAACCTTTAACCAATAATAATAATGATAATATAAGAAATTGTGTAAATTACATGGGTTTATTAATATTTTTTTAATGGTGCACCCTAAACTTTTTAACCCATGACCATTCCCCTTCACTCCCGGCCGTACCGACAAGATCCAAAGGAATACGGGGCATTACAGGGACGGTTTGACTGAAGGAGTTGACAGGCAACCAACTTCGAGCCTCCACTCCAGGTTATCTCCCTGGATTTACTTCCATAGCCTTTTCCGTGTGTTGGATATAACCGCAAAGCACTGGAGGTTTGAATCAGAGTATTATACACGCTTTGTATATTTCAACCAATACGTTTATCTAATATTTTCAATGTTTGTATTTATTCTGGTGTTTTTATACAAATATATACATAAGAAATCTATTGTCGACAGGGGCGCAGAGCAAGCGCTTAAATACCATCAGAAATGGAAAGCAAAAACTAATTTTCTGAAACTGCTATTGCCGAAAACTTGAACTGAACTTTCGGGCAATGTAAATGTTTTTTTTATATAATGTTTTTACATTAAAAACGATTTGCAAATTCCTTTCAGACGATCCAAAAGTTCAATTTAAAAAAAAAAAAAGTTCAAACAAAAATGCCTTTTCAACTTCATGCATAAAACATAAAAACTATTTTTACAGGGAGATAACTCAAGGAGCCTCTAAAAGTTTAAAACTCGTCAAATAACTTTTATCTTTTTTTCAACGTAAAGTCGTTGCCATTAATCAGTGTAAGAAACGCAAACAATAATTCATAGTGACTGTCGCCTTTGAATATTGGTACCTCGGTTTGTCGTTTGATTTTATTTTTAATCAGTGTTCTTCTCTGGCCAATTCTACACTTTTGTCTGAGATATTTTTTCCAGCCATTGTACTTTCTTCATTTTTTTATTCTTTTTTCTCCCCCCCCCTCCTCTTCTTCCGGTTTCTTTTTTCTCTTATTTCTTATGTTTTTCTTTTTTTTTATCTCCTCCCACACATTTCTTTCCGCAGCCTATTTTTTTCTCTATCATATTCTTCCTCTTTTACTTTCCTCCTCCTCTTCTATCTGTCTTTGAATTCTCCTCCTTCTCCCATCCTCTTCCTCTATGTTTCTTTAACTTCCCTACTCCTACTACATCTTTCTTATATTTTTGATTTTTAGACTTTCTTCTTCTTCTTCTTCTTCTTCTTTATATTATTTCTACTCCTCTTTTTTCTCCTTCGTGTTTTTCTACTTTTTTTTTTACTTTTCCTTCTCCTCTTTCCTGTCTTCCTCCTCTTTCACTCTGTTTCCTTTTCTTTTTCTCCTTCTCCTCCTTCTTGTATTTTTTGTTTTCACTTTTCCTCCTCCTTCTTTCTCTACCCTTTTCCACCGCTTCTTCTTCTTCTTCTTCTTCTTCTTCTTTTTCTTCTTCTTTGACTTTTCCTTCTCCTCCTCTCTCTTCCGCCTTCCCCTTCTCATCTCTCTCCTTCTTCATTATGTTTCTTTGAGTTTTCCTTCTACTCTCTCTCTCTCTTCCTCCTCCTCTTTTTTTCTCTTGTCTTTCTTTTACTTTTCCAAATCCTCCCTCTCTTCTTTCTTCATTATATTCCTTTGACTTTTCGGAAACATTTCTTCTTATTCTTCTTGCATTGTTATCTGATCAAACTGAAGAACTGTGTCAGAGAAAGAGCAAGAAAGAGAATCTTACGGTCACCAATTTTCAACTAATTAATTGAAGTATTTGTTTATTCTCATAGAGTTTGATTTCTTTATTCGTTAAATTCAATAATCAGTAGCTTCATTTTCCTCTCGTTACACGCTCGGTCAAGCAGGCGGACTTAAGAAAAAAAAAAACGCACCATGTTGAATGTTTATTCTGTTCATTATATCGATGAATGCATTTCCAGAATCAGAAAGTCCTATGTAATTCTCAAAACACAATAGACTTTTCAGATCCATTTTCAACATGTTTTTTATGGTCAGTTTTATTGACAAAATGGCGTCTCTGATTACAATGCCAGTCTTCAAATCGCATAGATTTTTTTTTTTTTTTTGTATTCGGTGACTATGCTTATTTTCGTGGTATATGTACTTTGATGAAAACTTTGTGTTAGGCAGTCAGTTCTTATTGCACATACAGAAAGAATTGCAGAATAAACCATACGTCAAAACAATCCTTATTCCCCCATAGCTGAACACTTTAATCAATCAGGACACTCGTTAGAAAACTGTAAATGTTTATTGATAGATTCTGATTTCAGTTCCACATACACACGCAGAAAAAAAGAAAAATACTGGATTTTAAAATTAAATACATATAAACTAGGATTAAATAAAGACTTGGGTATTTTAAATCTTTATATTTCAATTTTTTAGATATAGTTAATTTTTTTTTTAAACAACATCTAAAATATTATTACAGTTAGATTTACGTTAAAAATATTCGAACACAGTGGCGTTCCATATCACGTGACGTCCGCACTCGCGACGGACGCTACTTGTAAACAAACCTATAAAAACAGTTATTCCTGAAGAAAGATCGAGGTCGATCTGAAATATCAAATATAAATAAATACTTTCATAAAAAAACATTATTTTTTTTTTCATTTGCAACTTTTTAGAAAATATTCGTTTATGATAAGTGTATTTGACAGGATTCGAACCTGCATCCTATACGGAACCGTCATTTACGTTGACGTGCCTTACCTCTGGGCCACAAAGAACCTTTTCGATAGACAAGGTCGAATTTACTGCTTATAAACTTCAATCTTCCATGAATCTTACCTCTGGGCCACAAATTCGACCTTGTCTACCGAAAAGGTTCTTTGTGGCCCAGAGGTAAGGCACGTCAGCGTAAATGACAGTTCCGTATAGGATGCAGGTTCGAATCCTGTCAAAGAACGAATATTTTCTATGAAAATTTCTCGGACATTCAGGCCGGTAAATGTTATTTAATACTGTTTATCATAAACAGAGCATTTGCTTAAATACTTGTATCTATAAATAACAACGTTAAACATAAAAAATGTCTTTAATAAATAAATTGTCGGACCTTGTCCATTTCTTAATATATATATATATATTAGATGAAATGGATTAAATCCGACAAATATGTTATATTTTCTGTTTATAAGTTATTAACATATAAACAGATAACATATTAACATATTTGTCAGATTTAATCCACTTCATTGTTTTCATTGTTTACGTTACGGATATATATATAATGATATATCGAGAAAGATCGTCGAAGATGTGTGTTTATAAGCAGTAATTTAAACTTTGCTATCTGGAAAGTTCTCTGTGGCTGAATGGTTAACAGCACCTCAGGCCAAATGACGGTCTTCGTATACAGCTTCGATTCTTGTCGGAAAACCCTTACTTTCGACGATTTTTTTTTACATTCAAACAGTTTATTTAAATCGGAGCATTTACTGAAATAAGTTGTATCTGTAAATAAATAAAAAAATAATGTATAAACAGAAAAAATTATATATCTATATATTTAATTACTTAAACCTTATTTTTAGCAGATACTCGTATTTGAGTAGACGCTCCGTTTATTTATTAAAAGATTTATTTATTTTAATCTACCGGCCTGAATATTCGAGAAATCTTATTAGAGAAAAAAATTTAGCCTGTAGACTAAAATAAATAAATTTATTGTTTAATAAATAAACGGAGCGTTTACTTAAATTCAAGTATCTACAAAAAATAAGGTTTAAATAAGAAAAATCTGTTGGATTAATAAATAAAATATCCATCCCCTTTCACTCTCTCCATCTGTCTGTCTGTCTGTCCCTGTCTCTGTCTGTCTGTCTGTCTGTCTGTCTCTCTCTCTCTCTCTCTCTCTATATATATATATATATATATATATATATAATACAAAAATTTTTTCATTGAGATGATTGAGATGATTGGTGTTACCTTCAGCATCCCGACTCCAGAGTTTCGTAGATGGACTCGTCAGCAATTGACTGTTTACATTTTTCGTTTTTCTCTTTTATATATGGACTTTTTATTGATGCAAGGTTGACTTTTTCCCCTTTTCATTCTCTTTCCTGTGCTTATGTGTATATTAAGGGACGCGTGAGCGAGTGGTACCAACCCGGGTTCGAATCTCATCGTGGTCGATTTGCCAGACAGCTGACTTCATGATGTTATTAATGCGAGTAAGATATCCTATCATGCGGCACCCTTGGAAAGTTTTTAAAAATTTCACCCCCAAGCAAGGTGATAATGCCACTATGACGCGTGGGGGGGTACAGGGAGTGAAAGAGAATGAGAAGACTTTAGTGAGGAGAAGTGAGATGGCGATTGACGTTGCATTTAAATTTTTGAAGATTGTAGATGGTAGGGTGGTAATAAATCAAAAGGGAAATCTCCAGGAAAAGCAAATCTCCAGGAAAAGATAAGATTCCTAACTTTTGGCTCTATTATCTAAATACAGCACATAAAAAATAGCCAAAGAATTTCAATAAATGGTCAATTATCTTACTAAAATTCCGGCATGGGTAACCAAAGGAATTTTTCCTCCTTCTACCCAAGAATGGTGACACAAATGTTCCAAGAAAACTACAGACCAATTACATGTCTTCCCACTACTTACAAGCTGTTGACATCTATTCTGGCAAAACAGATATATTCCTTTTTAGAAAAAAAAGACATACTACCTCTTGAACAAAAAGGGTGCAAACGTGGCTCTTACGGATGTAAAGACCAATTACTTATTAATAGGATAATCTTGGAAAACTGCTTAAATAAAAAGAAAAATCCCAGTACTGCCTCGATAGATTACCGTAAGGCATTCGATTACCGTAAGGCATTCCTGGATCTTAAAGTCTTTAAATATATACAAGGTATCGCCCGTCGACATCAGTTTCATCAAACAAAGTATGTCGATATGGAAAACAATACTTCAACTCAATTATATAAATAGAATCTATAAGTCTGGTGAAATAAATATCAACAGAGGAATATTTCAAGGTGACTCTTTGTCTCCCTTACTATTTTGTATATCCCATTAACCAGTGAACTTAACAGGATGGAATATTGGCTATAAGATATTTCAAAAGAAAACAAGTCATCTATTTTACATGGGTGACTTAAAGTTATATGCTAGGAATGACAGTGAGTAGGAACGTCTCCTGAAAACAGTAAAATGTTTCAGTGATGACATTGGAATGGAATTCAGTTTGGATAAATGTGCTTAAGCCACAATTTTACGAGGATCGCTACAACAAACCTCCTCTACTAGCTTAGACCTTGGGGTAGCAATTAGAGATTTAGATCAAGAAGAAACTTACAAGTACCTCGGTGTAAATGAAAGTGAAGGAATTCATCATAAAAAAATTAAGGAAATAATGTGAAAAGAGTACTATAAAAAGGTGAGATTGATATTAAGAACTGAGTTGAATTGTCAGAACAGAAGTGCGAGAAAAGAAACTTAGAATTTACGGCTAAATCTAGTCATCTCAAGTGTAAATTGATGAGATCTTGACACCAGTCTAGTGCTGCGCTTAAATTCAAAATCTCTAGGTACCATAGCGAAGAGCTCATTCAAACAATTACCATGAAATTATTTATAGAAAAGACATTAAGAGTTAAACTGACGGTGGTGGGAAAATGATTGAAGCTAAGCCGCCAGATCAGGACCAATAATATTGCTGATTCTTTTCTGGATCTTATCAAGGAACTCAAGGTAAATAGCAGGGGCACTGGATCAGCAATAGGCTAAGCATAGACGAATGGTGGGCTTATAGATATGTAAGAAAGATTCTAGAGAGAAAAAATTGTCTCGCACGATACAGTGAATCGACTTTCTTAGCAGCTGATCTAGCGATGAATTCAATGTAGTCTTTCCACCTCATGGCAGAACTTTAGCCTTAGAAGGCGGAATGTGTTACTTTCTTGGAGGATAGCATTAGCCATGCTGATGGAAGGCAGAGAAGTTTCATCGGGAAGATCGTTAATGAAGATTAAAAGGACAAAGGATAGAACCCTGGGGGACATCCACGTTAGTATAAAAGACGAGTGACCCTTCAGGGCAACTTTAATTTCACAATTTACCGGAAAGAGTTCTTATGGATAGAGAGTTCCTGCTTAATTGATGCTTGGGTGGAGATATCAATAGATAACACAGAGTGGCCCGAGTCATCAAGGAGACAGTATTGTGAAGCTTGGCAAGAACGATGAGAGGAGGCAAGAAATAGTGCCAATTGGTTTGGCCAGGGAAACGAGTGGAGAAGTCCACGATATGGGTGAGGGATTGAGCAATGAAAAAATTTAAAGATACAGTAAGCAGTCATCTTATACTATAGTTATAGGATAAATTCATGAAAACTTGTTATATTTTTTGACCTCATTTGTTGTGGCATTATTAGGGACCAGAAATAAAGACACAAAGATAGGAATTGAGTTAAAGAAATATATTAACAGTCATGCAAACATATGCAAACGAGAGTGTTACAGCAAGAATATTCGGTCCGACTGTCAGAGCTGACTGCTGGTAACTTCCTTCTCCAAAAGGCAGTACCTGCTCATATTTATAGCTGGGAGAGTCCATGCGTGCGTGGGTAAATTACCATAGCATCGTCTTATCTAAAGTTCGCCTTA